GACAGCCAGGACTATTATACAGAGAAACCCTATCTCAAAAAAAAAAAAAGGGTAAGGGAGAGCACCAGATCCCCTGGAACTGGATTACAGACAGCTATGAGCTGCCAAATGGGTGCTGGGACTGAACTTTGAGTAGCCCACAAACTTCTAAAATTTCAAAACCAAAAGCACTTATAATGGGAATGTAGCTCCATGGTAGATTGCTTGCCAACCATGTGCAGGGCCCTGGATTTGAGCTAAAGTACCACAAAGAAACAGAAAAAGAGAAAAAAAGCAAGTACTTAGTCCAAATAATTGCTTGGGAGGGTACTATTTGGCTCTGATCCTGAAGTAAAGCAAAAGGGCTTCTAGCCCTTGGTCCTTTATTAATATTTTGACTTTTTTGGTCTACTTAATCCTTCAAGAGTCACAAAAATGGGACTAGAGAGATGGCTCAGAAGTTAAGAGCATTGGCTGCTCTTCCAAAGGTCCTAAGTTCAATTCCCAGAAACCACATGGTGGTTCACAACCGTCTGTAATGAGATCTGGTGCCCTCTTCTAGCCTGCAGGAACACATGCAGGCAGAACACTATAATAAATGAATAAATCTTTTAAAAAAAAGAGTAAAAAATTTTATAAAATATACATTAGTAAACAAAGGAAGAAGAGGAGAAGAACTGGACATGTTTGATGACATGCTTTCTACTGTCTCTGTGCGGGTGTACCAGCATCATATGGGAGCAGGACCAAGGAAGCACCGTTCTGGAAAGACAGATAATGAGGAGACATCATGTCTGCTTTATAGTTACAAGAGTCTGAGCACAGCCTTTTCACAAGAAAATATCTTACTAAAAAGTATAGAAACACATACATGGGCTTAAGCATTACTGTGGCCTAGGCTTGACTTGCACACAGGAGACCTTGGGTTTGACCCATTGTGTGTGCATGTGTGCGCAGTAGCGCACACACACACATTCAGTTTTGTTGTTGCTGTTTGGATAAGGTTTTTTGTGTCTGTTTTTGAAACAGGGTCTCAGGTAGCCCTCAAACTCACTCAGTAGTCAAGGCTGGCTTTGAACTCTTGTTCCTCTTGCCTCCAGTAATGAATGGCTCAGATTACAAGTGTATACCACAAACAGAAAATGGTGGTGTGCCCGTTTAATCCCAGCACTTTGGAGGCAGAGACAGGTGAATGGATCTCTGTGAGTTTGAGACCCAGTCTATTCCAGGACATCTAAAAATGTTTCACAGAAAAACCCTGTCTCAAAACAAAACAACCAAAATCATCCTCAGCTACATATGAAGTTGGAGGCTAGGAAATAAAAGAGGAAGATTAACTCATTTGTCCATGGACTGTTTACTGAGCACCTACTAAGGCAACAGCCCTTATTCTAGCACAGCAGTGAAGAGAATGTTCCTGTTGTAATAAAGATGGCATGTACGCACGGAAAAGAAAAAAGTATCTGCCAGGTGGCTGCTCACGCCTTTAATCCCAGCACTCAGGAGGCAGAGGCAGGTGGATCTCTGTTAGTTCGAGGCCAGCCTGGTCTACAAAGTGAGTTCCAGGACAGCCAGGACTGTTCCTCAGAAAAACCCTGTCTCAAAAAACCAGGGGGAAAAAAAGAAAAATATATATATATAGATAGATATAGATATATATATATAGAGAGAGAGAGAGATAGATGGATATCATAACAACAGATGGCTATGTGTCATAAAGAAAAAAAGGAGCATGGGACAAAGATTTGCCACTTTGTGGCCTGCTTGGGGTACACAGCAACCTGGGCAAATTTGTGAGACCCTGCCTCAAAATGAAAAACTACAGAGCTGTGTAGAAAGACAGCTCAGTAGGAGAGCACATGTCCAGAGTGCCTGGGGCTCTGAGTCCACTCTCAGGACTACCAGAGTGTCAGAACATGAAGAACTTGAAAAAAGTTTTTATTTGTCTGTTTGGTTTTTGGATTTTCAAGACAAGAGTTTCTCTGCATAGCCCTGGCTGTCCTAGAACTCCATCTGTAGATCAGACTGGCCTTAAACTCAGGGAGATCTGCCCGCCACCATTTTCTGAGTGCTGGAATCAAAGGCATGAACCACCACAACCTATCATCAAAAAAGAATTTTTTTAAAAAATGACTAACTCTCCATAATCTATTTTTTATTTTTTGTCATATATCAAAAAATAACAACCGACCAGGTGGTGGCACACACCTTTAACCGCAGCACTCAGGAGGCAGAGGCAGGTAGATTTCTGTGAGTTTGAGGCCAGCCTGGTCTACAAGAGCTAGTTCTAGGGCAGGCTACAGAGAAAAAAAAGCTACAGAGAAACCCTGACTTGGGGGGGAGGGGAGGGACAACCAAAGACATATTATAGTTAAGGCTGCTATTTTTCACTTAAAGAAATAAAATAAAGATTTCTTCCTATGTAAAGTTCACACCATCTTCATGATTTTAAGAAAACCATAAAAGGGGTGTTGGTTGCACAGCTCAGCAGCGAATTGCTTGCTTAGCATGTGCAAAGCCCTAGGTCTCATTCACAGTGATGCAAAAACAATAAATAAAGTCCATTTATTTTAAGAAGAGGAGGACAGCTGGGGAGATGGCTCAGTTGGTAGAGTGCTTCCCACACAAGCCTGAGGATCTGAGTTCAGATTCCCAGCACCTATGCAAAAAGCCAGCACAGTGGCCAGCGCCTATAATTGCTACACTGGGGCAGCGGCAGCCAAGACAGGAGGACCCTAGGGCTTGCTGACAAACCAATAAGAAATCTTGTCTCAAAAACTAAGGTGAAGCTGCTAGGTGGTGGTAGGGCACGCCTTTAATCCTAGCACTGGAGGTGCAGAGACAGACAGGTGGATCTTTTAGTTCCAGGTCAGCCTGGCCCGTTAGAGTAAGTTCCAGGCAGCAAGGGCTACACAGAGAAACCCTGTCTCAAAAAACAAAAGGCAAAAAACAAAAAAAAAAAAAAAAAAAAAAAGGAAGACATTCAACATGAAACTCTGGCTTCCAAAAACACGTACATATACATGTAAACACATGAACATGTACATACCCACAACACACAAACACACACACATGAAGAAAGAAAATCAGCAGATACTAAAATTCCCTTTCACAAGTTTAAGGGCCTCAACCACTTGAAAGTGTGCAGATGCCTCAGCACAAAAATCAAAAGACCGAAGTATTCACTTCCCTTTCTTCAGCACAGTACTTTGCTGATTCCCCAGTAAACTAGATGAACTTTCTACAGTCTGGTCTAGCTTTCAAAACTACTACTCCAGTGCTTAAAAAAAAAGTCAGGAGTGGTGGCATATACCTACATCCCCAGCACTTGGAAGACAGAGGGAGGAAGAGCTACAGCAAGTTTGAGGCCAGCCTGGTATACATACCTAGTTTTAGATCAACAGGGCAATTAGATCCTTGGTTATAAAATTCTTTTGTATGTATATTGTCTCACCCTGTCTGCTTCCCCCCCCCCCCCCCCAAGGCAAAATCCTCTCCAAAGTTTTCTTACTTTGTTTTTTGTTATTGAGACAGGCTTTCTCTGTGTAACAGTCCTGGCTGTCCTGGAACTCAATTTGAAGACCAGGCTGGCCACAACAGAGTCTCCTGCCTCTGCCTCCTGAGTGCTGGGATTAAAGGTGTGCGCCACCACCACCTGACCTAAAGTTTATTTTTATTTCAGGAATTCTCCATCATTTTGTGCCAAGTATTTACCTCTTTGATAATCTGTTGAACCTTAAGGACTCCTCAGATTGCTTTTAAACGCAAAATTCATATAAGTACAGGCGGATCTCTGTGAGTTCGAGGCCAGCCTGGTCTACAACAGCTAGTTCCAGGACAGACTTCAAAGCAACACAGAGAAACCCTGTCTTGAATAAATAAATAAACAAACAAACAAACAAATAAATTTGTACGAGTATAAAGGAAACCTATTATACTGACATTATGAAATGAAAAACGAACATGTACAAAACTACAGCATATTACATAGGATATAACCGAAACCTCCCAAACTCAAAGACATTCATCGATAAACAGATACGATAGATTGAGATAGCTCCAGCTGTAAACGTGACAGAAAAATAACTGTAATTTCTATTGGTGGCAAGTTCACAGGGGTTGCTAGTATTATTGTGGTTTGTTGTCTACTTTCAGAACTGAAGGCAACAGTCGGTTTCAATTATTGGTTTGTAAATAAAGGTGTAATTTTACCCTCCTTCTCGCAGAAGAACCAGTACACTCCATCTACATTCAATCCACTGAAGAACCGCGTGCTGGAAACTCTAGTGCCAAGGCCAGAGTTTCCGAGGCAAGTCTATTTTGCTCAAACTCAAGTTTCATCTTATGAAGCTTGATTTCACTCAATATTAACGTTAAAGAACAGAGTCCTCCTTGTACCTACCTCTCATCTCACACCTCATCGTATCTCACTTTATGCAGGATAATGCATTGAATCCCGTTCGTTTCCGCGGTCTGCCCAGCCAGCAGCCGTGACAATTCTGCCGGTCCATAAAGGCGACATTGAAGGAAGAGGGCGGTGGAAAGAACGGACACTTGCAGACCACCACCAGCAAGTGCACAGACGCCAAGCCCGGCGCGCGTTTGCGAGTGCGCGGCGACCTCAGCACCGAGCGTCCGGAGCGTCACGGGCGGCGCTCCGAAGCCATTCGGTCCGCTCCTGGCCTCCGCGGCTCGGCTGCCCACCTGCCCCGGACGCCCACGGAGGCGACCCGCGCTACTGCGCCCCTTCCCGCCGCGTCGCGCTCCCGCCCCATCCCCCACGGCCCTGTGTCCCCGCCGCCTCAGGCCGGCCCGGGGCCCGCACGCCGCCACCTCTCCCGCGGGGTCCGGCCGCGCGGCTTCCTACCCGAGCGCCGCCCGCCGGGCACGGGGCAGGCCCGGGGCCCGGGGATCCGGGCGGGGCGGCCGTCAGGCGCGGGCTGCGGTGCTAGGCCGGACGGCGGGGCGGCCGAGCCTGGAGCGGCGCACGCGGCGCGGGCCGTCCGAGGACGCGCACTCACCGAGGAGGTCATGCGGAGGACGGCGCCCAGGTCCCCGCCGGACGGCCGCTCGGCCTCCGAGCCGTCGCCCTCGCTGCGAACTGCCACCGCCGCCCAGCCGCCGCCACAGATCGCCAGTCGGTTTCCCTGCCTCCTGCGGCGGCGCTGCCCCCTCGCCAGTGCGCGTGCGCGGCGCCGCGGGGCCCCCTGGGATCGGTGGTCCGGCCGGCGGCCGCCCTTCCGCTCCCGATAGAGCCGCCTTGCCCGGACCTGTCTGCCGAACCCCGCTCTCACCTCTCGGTGTACCTGGTGCTGGAGATGACGTGTGCAAAAAAAAAAAAAAAAATGACACTCCTCGCTTGCCCAGGACATCATTCGATAATTCTCTCCCCCCCCACACACACACACTCAGGCATGCACGCACTCTCAAAAGCTATGTCAGTTGGGCTGTATCTTCATTTTTAGTATTGAATCTAATTTCCCCCTTCTCATTTGGTCGAATTTTATTGTAAACCATACAGTAACATTACATAGGTTTAAATATTGTGTGGTTTTTAAACAAAAATGACACATAACACGTCAAGTTAGCAGAAACGAACGAACAGTCATCGAAACCTTAGCATTAGAACATACATTAAAGGTCATCGGTGCAGCTCACGCCCATGCAAGGATACCCTGCAAGTTCAGCCAGACGGCCTCCCTGTGTCACTTCTGTTTCGGAGGTTCCGATATTAGGCAGATCACAGCCTCTAAGAAGTGCAGCATCCTCCACTGTTGGACAGCTCTAAAGGTTAAAAAGTTCTGCCTGTGCTGAGCTGAAATCGGCTTCCCTTTTCTTTCCTACCTTTGCTAGTTGTTAGGCTGCCTGTAGCAAGGTTTGGTTCTCACTTGACAACCCTTCAAAACATTGAAGACGAGGAATATATCCAACAACTCCAGGAGGCCACACACGCAAAAAAAAAAAAAAAAAAAAAAAAANAAAAAAAAAAAAAAAAAAAAAAAAATGAAAACTCATCTTCCCAGCTATTTCAAATGTAAACCAGAGCCCAGCCTGCTTTCCACTACTCCTCTGTGGACTACACTCCTTAAAACTACACTACACCTCCTTAAAACTCATCAGAATTAAATGGCATGGTAGCTCACACCTGTAGGAGCTGAAGCAAGAGTTCAGACCAGGCTGAGCTACAGCAAGTCCAGGCCAGGCGGAGCTACCCTGTGAGATACAAAAGAAATCCTGTGACTGAATTTACTTCCTATTTGCTACTTCATTAAAATAGCATCCTGAGTAGATCAGATGTTATTGCTACTATGTTGCCATTCAACAAAGTCCAGAAAAGGTTCAATTAAAGATCGTCAGCCTGTTACATTGTACAAAGCACCAAGAAGATAAAAGAGCAAGTGGATACAATTTACAATCTAAAGTGGAGAGGAACTCCCACAGATTAGGAAATGTAAGTACAAACCAAATTACAAAATGCTGTGAGAGTCCAGAGAAAGAGCTATTAAATTAAGAAACCAGGACTCAGACTGAAATTGGTGGCTCACGACTTTAATCACAGCATTCTGTGAGTTCCAGGATAGCCAGGGTTATATAGAGAAGAAAAAAAGGAGTAGAAGAGAGAGAGAGAGAGAGAGAGAGAGAGAGAGAGAGAGAGAGAGAGAGAGAAGAGAGAAGAGAGAAGAGAGAAGAGAGAAGAAAGGAGAGGAGAGGAAAGGAAAAAGAAACCCGACTATGGCTGGATGTTAAGATAGAAAATGGAATTTGTAGATTGCATAAAGCCAAACCCAGCTTGTGGGTCCTCTGTGTTCAAAGGCTCCAGAGCACGGAGGTAAAGGAAAGGCTTTCAAAGACTCAAAAGGAAGGCTCCAGGAAAAGGCATTTGCCACCAAACCTGACCACAAGAGTTTGATCACAAGCACCCTAGAAGGTTGGAGAAGAAACAAGGCAGTGTCCTCTGACCTTCACTGTTGCAAGGACTTGCTCCCCACACAAATGAATAAATAAATAAATAAACCGTGTGGATACGTAGATAGATTGTAAATGCGTAAATGAATATGTAAATATGCAAATGACAGGAAGACAAAGGTGCTAAAGGATCTTAAGAGTCTTGAAGGAAGCAGATTGTGCTTGGTTAGTGAAAAAAAAAAAAACAGGAATGTTCGGTTCATTGGTAGAGACCTGTTCTGTCAGCTACAAATGGAGCTAAACGAGATGGGCAGCTTTTAATCTTTCCACTAAGCATTCCCAAGGAATAAAACATTCTTACAAGAGCCCTGGATCACTACAACAATGATTCTTACAGGCTGTGAGTGTTTATGCGTGGGAGAGAAAAATATGATCAAAATTAATAAATTTGGGGGGAAATGATCAGAATTTAGTAACTAGAGCTAGTACTGCTCTGCCGGGCAGATCACCTGTTCTCTTTCTAGAATTTGTCATGTGATAATTTTTCTTCTTACTGTTCTTTGGGTGTGGTTCACACCTGTAATCCCAGCATTTGAGACTTGGAGACAGGAGAATGGAGAGTTCAAAGTCAGCATGGGATATTTGAGACTCTGTTTGAAGAACAAATAGAAAATGAACAATGAATTCTATCCAAAGACATTTTTCTTCCTGATACACAATTCAGCCAACCATGATATCCAGAGACGTAAAATTATTTGTCCACCGTCTCAAATTCTCACTGAATCTTTCTGGGCATGGTGGTATATACATGTAATGTCAGTGCTCAGGAGGCTGAGGCAGGAGAATCCCAAGTGTGACTTCAGCCTAGGCTACAGGGCAAGAAGACCTTGTCTCAATTGACCACAGAGGTGACAGTTCATACTGGTTCTTCATCAGAGTTCAGATATTCAGACTCCCGATTCCATGCTGCCCATTAAAGCACTGTGCCTCAGAATCACATAGCAGCATCAAACTCAGAAATTAAACTTTGAAATCATTGCATTCTGTCTTTGTGTGCCTAGCCAGTCTTAGAGAAGTAAGACAAAAACAAAACCAGCAAACAAAAACTGGGTGATCTGTCAACTTCGTTATTAATTAGATGTGTTGAATTAAAAAAAACTAGGTGAGACTTTAGTCCCAGCACTCCGGAAGCAGAAACAGGCAGATCTCTGTGAGTTTAAGGCCAACCTTGTCTACAAAGCAAGTTTCCAGGACAACCAAGGATAAACAACAACAACAACAACAAAAAAAACCTGTCTTGAAAAACAAAACAAAAAAACTTAAAAACATAGAATTTGTTTTAAAGGTCTTTTGTAGCTGGACATGTCATCTCATGTCTTTAATTCCAGCATTCTGGAGGCAAAAGCAAGAAGTAAACTCAAGGCTAGCCTGGTCTACATAATTAGCTCCAGTCCAGATAGGGATACACAGTGAGATTTTGTTCTCAAAAAAAGGAAAAGAAAGAGGAGGAGGAAGAAGAGGAGAAGGAAAGAAGGAGAAGCAGGGCCTGGTAGTACACTTCTTTAATCCCAGCACTTGGGGAGGCAGAGGCAGGTGGATCTCTGTGAGTTTGAGGCCTGGTCTACAGAGCAAGTTCGAGAACAGCCAGAGTTGCATAATAGATTTTTTGTCTCAAAAAGCCACAAAAAAGTTGTTTTTATTCATTATTTGTTTGTTGTAAACATGTATGTGGGTGCACATATGGAGGTCAGAGGACGTGTAGGAATTTGTTTTCCCTCTACAAGGTAGGGCTTGGGATTAGAACTCGGATCATCAGACTTGTCAGCAAACACCTTAGCTTTCTGAGTCCTCTGCTTGACACCACCCCCATAGTTGTCTTTTTATTGTTGATTTACTTATTTGTTTGCAGTTCTGGCAATGGTACCCAGGGAACACTGTACTAGTGCTCTATCTACTGTGAAAGCCACACACACACCCAGCCCAACTCGATTAAAATCAATAATTGGTCTGTAAAGTCCCCATACCATTAACCATTGTTAACCTTAAACTTGATTTACTAGCTAGAAATAAATATGCATTTGGCGTTTTAATTTTTATTATTTTTTATCATTTTATTATTTTTTTAATTATGTGTGTGCATGTGCATCTGTGCACCTGAGTACAGGTGATCAGGAGGCCAGAGGTATTGATTGGATCTGCTGGAACTGAAGTAGAGCGCCAACTGACGTGGATGCTTGAAACCAAAGTTGGGTGCTATGGAAGAGCAATATTCCCTCTTAACTACTGAGCCATCTCTCCAGTCTCATGTGTTCAGCTTTTTGTTCTCTTTCTTGCTTTATTTATGCAATTGATGGAGGTGGTGGGAGAATGACTTTGTGTGAGTGTATATGTGTGTGTGTTGTGTGTATATGTGCGACTGAGTGTGTATGTCTATTTGTTTATGCATGCATGTATCTTCTTTGCATATGAGTGTGTCTGTATGTATATATGAATGTCTCTGTGTATATGTTTATGCATATGTGTGTGCTCTGTGAGTGTGTGTCTGTGTGTATGAGTGACTGTGTCTCTGTATATGTGAGTGTGTCTGTGTGAGTGTGCCTATGAGTACTAGTGTGTCTGTGTGTCAGTGTCTCTGTATTTGTTTATACATGTGCGTGTGTTTGCAGGTCAGGAGACAACTCTTGTGAGTGAATCCTTTCCTTCTACCATATGGGTTCTGGGGACCAAATTCAGGCCATGAGGCTTGGAGACAAGAACCTTGACCTTCCGAGCCATCTCACTGGGCCTATAGGCTTGCTTTTATTGATATGTGATTAGAGTTTGTATAACAAAGATCACCTAGTTCCTACTATAAACCATCCCAGAAAGAAACACGAGGCCCTCTCTAGAAATAAAGAAAAAGTTAGGAAGTGAAAGATGAAAAAAAAGAAGAAAGAAAGAAAGAAAAGAAAAGAAAAAAGAAAGCCGGGTGGTGGTGGCACATGCCTTTAATCCCAGCACTCGGGAGGCAGAGGCAGGCAGATCTCTGTGAGTTCGAGGCCAGCCTGATCTACAAGAGCTAGTTCCAGGGCAGGAACCAAAAAGCTATGGAGAAACCCTATCTTGAAAAATAAAAAAAATAAAATAAAAATTAAAAAAAGAAAGAAAGAGAAAAAAGAGAGAGAGTTACCTGAAACCTATTTTAACCACAAAATAGAGAAGGCAACAACTCTGTTTCATCCAATAGTTATTAAGACAAAACCAGCCTATACACCTTTAATCCCAGCACTGACAGACAGAGGCTGGCGGGTTTCTGTTAGTTCAAGGGCAGCCTGGCCTACAGAGTG